CACACCACTGGCTCCTCTCCTGCACTGCACTCTTGCCCCACCATTGGGGCCAAAGACTACTTGCATTCTGTTATGGTTGATACATTGTGTCAACTTGGGGAGTCTAGAGGTTTGGCTAAGTGACTCAGCAGGAGGCCAGGGTGCTTACTTTGTATACATCCTGAGCCTGTGGAAGAGGAGGGCAAGGAGATTATGTGAGAGCTACACGTCCCTTAGGTGGGCCCCTTAGGTGGGGGTAGCCTGTTTACAAAGTAAGGCAGGGAAAGAAGCTGCTTGCCGCCATTCCTCCCATTTGCTCTGGCTGTTTGCTGTTCGGCTGCCATTCCCCTCTTTGCTCTTGTTGCTTTGCTATCTTCTGCCTTGGAGCCAACCAAGTATGGACTGAAACCTCTACAAACTGTAAGCTAAATAAACCTTTCCTTCCTTCATTTTGGGTGTTGGGTATTTTGTCTCAGCAAAGAGAGAAAAGTAACCAAGACACACTGTTGTCCACAAATTGGAGGGAATGCAAACTTTTTGGCTCAAGGGTGCTTGTGCACTCATTGCAGGTCAGATGAATGCTAATTTCCCACACCTTATTCCCACAGCCCTAAGTTGTTTGCATTGCTGGTCACAAGTCTAAGGGAGTGCTGACTTCCCTGGCTAATGGTGCTGCTGCTGGTCACAGGGCAAGGGAATGCTAATTTCCCCCCTCATTGTCCCCACTGCCACCCAAGACTTCTTGCACTTCTGATCAAGCTGTAGCTGCAGTCAGAGTTCCACTCTCTTGGCAGTTGTGGGGCAGAAGGAGTCCTGTTGTTCCACTAGCTTTCCTCAATGCCATTGCTGATCCCTAACCTTGTTGTTGCTAGAGGTTCCAGTTAGCTACTATGGAGCACAGTAGAGGAAGAAAGAAAAAAATACTGTTGGCCATCAGAGAAGAAGTAGTCTTTCACCCATGTGTGTGCTGGTGAAATTTATTGCCAGGCTGCAGTGTCCTCTGTTTGCAGGAAATCCAAAAACCAATAGGTCTTATATTCCAGATCTATCCTGTATGGATTGAGTTTGCCACACGTTTGCAGTCTATCCATTTTCTTGGGAACTTCGGGCAGTAAATTTACAGGCAGGGCTGCATAATCATTTTATAAAATCCTATGCCCATGGGTTTTTTTTTAATTTTAAAGGGAATAAAATTTAAAAAAAAAAAAAACATTAAAAATGACACAGAATTTCAAAACAAAATGATAGGCAATCAACAATCATTTTTATACTGCATATTGTTGTCTTCAAAGTAGCTGTTCAGTCACCACATACCTTATCTGTGCTCTACCAATTTCTTATCTCAGATTAATTATGGCATCAGTATGTATGTCCATCCCTTTCTTCCAACTACCTATGTTTCAGTAGACTTTCTCTAAGTAGCTCCAATGTGACTTATTTTCTATTCAGCCATGTTGAATCTGCTCAACATAGTGCTTTGAGGGACCAAATTTTTAAGACTCTGAAAAGAATGAATTAATAAGGACAGTGTCAGTTAAAGAATTGAGTTTAGAAATAATGTGACTTAAAGAATTGAGTCAATAGTTAATCACCTCCAAAAATATCATGTGCCAGAACCAGTCTCTCTCCTCAACACACATGAAAATACTAATAACATTATAAGTCAAATTCAACACGCATAAAATGAATTATGTATTATGCACAAGTGAGATTTACTCAAGGCATGCTGCCCTTATTCAATATGTGAAATTCAATTAATGTATTCCAATACATGAGCAGACTAAGGAAGAAAATTACATAATTTTATCAACAGATGTAGAAAAACACTGAAATATTGGTTATGACAAAAACTCAGAAAAATTAGGAATAGAGGGGAGCCCCCAAATATCCAATCCTAAAAAGGTGATAACTTTGAGGTTAATATGAAAAAGTTACCCTATTTTCTATAGGCTAGAAATGAAAAATTAAAAATAAAAACATAACACCATTTACATTAGTATAAAATGTGTTTCTCAAAAAAATCTAACAAGTATATATAAATTATATCTTAATAAATCATAGAAGTTGGATAAAGGAAATATAAGAAGTAAATAGAGAGTCCATGTTCATGGGAAACAACACACCTTATTATTAAGATGTCAGTTTTTTCAGTGCTCGCTTCGGCAGCACATATACTAAGATGTCAGTTTTTCCTAACTTAATTTATAAGTTCTGTGCAGCTCTATCTAAAACTCTGTCCAGTTATTATTTGAATATTGATGAACTGTTTCAAAATTTATACAAAAAAAAAAGATGAAGAATATCCAACAAATGATTAAAAGAAAGAAATAAAGAGGCACAGCCATGAAAGAGTATAGCAGAAATCTTCACCGGCTGTGTGAAAGGCAAGTCCATTCCAGCAAAGGGCCTTTCAAAGACAGCATCACAGGACTGCCTTTCCTTGGTCAACAGGCAATTCCTCAAACTTACCACAACTATTGACTTCTAATTCACAATGCATCCATCATCCCATTCTCTATCCATCTTTCCACCTTTTTGTGTGTGTCCCAGTGAACTCCATTTGTCACCTTATGAGCCTTTTCCACCCAAACCTTCCTCTTCCCCCATACACTTGCTGCATTTCTAGTCCTCTATATTGAACTCCTTCTCTATCCTATCCCCTTCATCTATACTCCCTACTCCAGGGATGTCAATTAAACAGTTTTGCCAACCATTGTGCCAGCACCATCCACCCTCTTGTCTTCCTTTACTCTAATCCTCCAGTGATCTCTCCAAGCACACCAGCCTCCAAAAATCTTATCTTCACGTTCCCCATGACCACCCTATATTATCCCAGTTCTGTGATCCCTGCCCTTTCTCATGAGCTGGTTATCCATTCACACTTGCTATTCCAACTCCCTTCATGGCTTTGCTCCTACGTCACCCATGCTCATTATCCTTCAGGCTGCAGCTCCTCTTCCCATCCTCCCCTTTGCTCTACACAAAGTGTAGATGACTGTAGCAACCACTCTGTGCTTCTGAACTGGGTGAGGAGTATTGGCTTATCTGACAATGAAAGGATTGGGCACTAACACCATCCCACCCTCGTGGACTCATTCTGGTGGATTTATTTGTGAAGACTTCATCAACATTTGACATCATATAGTTACTGTTCTTTTTACTCTCCTATCTCTACTGGTTTTCAACATCAAGAAAGTTCATATCCCTACATTTCTGTATCATCTAAACTTCCAAATTTACTGCCCAATGAAATCTTTTCTTGGGGGGGGGCGGGTACTGGGAATTGAATGTAGAACCTTGCACTTGCCAGGAAGGCACTGTGCCACTGAGCTATATCTTGGCTTCATAGTTTCTCATGTACTCTCTCTGCATCCTTTTCACATCTCCATCTCAGATATTTTGTTTTGCTTTCATTATTCATAAGTTATATTATGGTGAGCTTTAGCACTGTGGTGGCTATTAGATAACTAATTTTGCAGTAGAGAAACTTTCCAAGGCAAGAGAGAATTCAGTGGGGCACGAGAGCTTTTCCACATCCCTCTGTGTCAGACCTCAATACTTCCTGCTCTTCTCCATCTGGGAGTCTGCTCCCAACACTTCAAAAGTCTCTTTAGAGATGCTAATCACAAACTTAATTGGTCTCAGTGATTAAGAACTGGAAAAAGTTTTTCAGTGTTATTCTCTTTCCCCAAGCCTGCATTGCCATTGCCATTAAAGATGAAATAATAACTGAACTTCTATGGAAATGTCAGGTCACAGAGTCACAAACCTTTATCTCAGAGGACAGACACAAATAATCTGACTCATAACAGCTGTTACACTTCAGAATGTGCACTGCGGCATTTGTTATTTCATCCTGAGGCAAAGCATGTAAGATAACTAGGTATAACTATCACAAGCTTTGAATTGTGGTCACATTGGAAAGTCTGATCGTTTGGAGTTTAAAACTGATCCAGGAGAAAGCCACACAGGAAGGAGCAATAATTTCTGAAACAAGCCCTGGGCTGGTAAGGAGAAACGGGGGTCCTAGATCACCCACATCACATCAGATTACAACTAATGTGAATTTATGTGATCATCACGGAGTGAACTTTTATAAAATCTATAACTAAATTTGTAAATATGAGCTTATAAAATGTACAAGACTACAGCTCTTAAATTTTTTTGCATGTGTGTCCTTTGTGTTAATACTTTTCACAAATCTTACCTCCCTGCCAACAATTTCACCTATATCATTTGTAAATCAATAGCCATATAGAATCTTAGTATTTTAGTTTTTAGCACTTCATTATTTGAGACCATATTTGTCTTTCATATACCACAGTTTAGGGAAAGAAATGAGTTTACTAAACAACTTTTATGATATTATTTTACCATGAAATAAAAAAATCTCCATTCTCATTTGGATGTTCAGGACTTCTTACATTTCTTGCAGGCAAATTCCTGCATATTATAGGGCAATTAACATAACTGCATTTTACTAGTGCCTCTCAATTTTTATAGTTAATATCTTATACAATAAAATATTAACATAAATTGAAATTAGTATGAAAATTTAAAGAACAACTTAAAGCAAACTGATCAAGTAGAAAAGAGAACTGATAATATAACCAAATCACTCAATAAATGCAGCTCACTAACTTTGCTAGTATCAGATGGTGGAAATGCTCTGTCTTAAGTGAATGTATGCCAGGCAGAATCCTCATTTTGCCCCAAAATATAGACACTTCTCTATGGCTGTATTTGCTTGAGGCAGTCATGGTTGCTTTAAAGATTTGTGAGAAAAGTGAGCATAAATACAGACTGTGCAGCAACTGGTCTTGTGTGACAAGTGTTGTTTACAGTACCTTTAACTTTTGAACACAAGCCAGTGAATGAAAAACCACAAGTGTCTCTAAAGGAAACCAGCAGTAAGTGGAGAACCATGTAACCCAGTTTTCATGATAAACACAGTCTCTGCATTGTATTCTTATGAGGGGTTTTCTTGCTCTGAAGACCAAAATCCATCTGGCAAATTGCCAGAATGGCCTCCAAGGAGGCAGCAATGGGAGTGGTTTTCTTATCACAGACTGTGTGTGGAGCCCTTGGAAATTTCTTTCTTCTTCGCCATTATCTCTTACTTTCCTTCACTGGACACCAGTTAAAGTCCACAGATTTAATTCTCCAGCATTTGATGGTTGCCAATTCTTTATCCCTGCTCTCTAGAGGAGTCCCCCAGACAATGACAGCTTTTGGCTTGGAAGATTTCCTCGATGATCTTGGATGCAAAGCTGTGTTATATCTTCATAGAGTGGGCAGGGGTGTGTCCGTCAGCATCACCTGCCTCTTGAGTGGCTTCCAGGCCATCACCATCGGCCCCAGAAACTTCAGGTGGGCAAAGCTTAAAGTAAAAGCCCCCAAGTATACTGGCTTCTGTATTTTCATGTGTTGGACCCTGCAAATACTGGTAAATATAATTTCTCCCATATATGTAACTGCAAAATGGAGCAATAGAAACATTACACTGCAAAAGGATTTGGGATTCTGTTCTGCAAATCATGCTGATACAGTCACTCTACAGCTATATGCAGTGCTGCTATTGTTTCCTGATGTGGCCAGTTTGAGCCTCATGATCTACACCAGCATCTCTATGCTCTTCATTCTGTATAGGCACAGGCAGCAGGTCCAATACATTCACAGGATCAATGTCTCCTCCAAGTCCTCCACTGAGTCCAGAGCTACCCGCAGGATTCTGGCTCTTGTGAATACCTTTGTGTCATCTTATACCCTCTCCTCCATCTTCCAAGTCTGTGTTTCTAATTCTCAGAAACCCAGTTGGTGGTTGCTGAACATCGGTGCATTTAGCTCTCTGTGTTTCCCAGCTTTCTGCCCCTTTGTGCTGATGATCCATAACTCACAGTGTCCAGCTCTGTGTCTCGGTAAGAAAAAAAAAAGTGTTTATTTCTTTTCTTAATCATCTCTATGGACTTGTAAGCACAGTTGTGAGATAATCATGTTAGAGTAGGGAAGAAGGTAGACTGAAATTCTGATTAACAAAAAACCACAAAAAGCACTACCAGTTATAACTAACATAACTTGTACCACGTGATTTCCTAAACAAGTTGCGTTAGTGCCCATGTTAGAGTACTTCAGTTCCTACAAAATAACAGAGCACTGGGTTCATAGTCATTCTGGAGATTATAGTGTTGTCACTGAGTGTGTAACTTTCACTTTGACATAGTAAGTTTATCCAGAAATAAACTGATCTGAGAGTTTCTGGGAAAGAGCCACAACAAAGAGTTAGCATGTGCGTTGATCAGTAAAGAAACTAGAGAAATGAATATTCTTAAGGCAGAATGAAGACACATGAAGTGAAGCTGAATTGAAAGCAGCTCCTGGTAGTAAGCGTATTTGGGGCCAAAAATTGAATTGTGTGCCCCCCTCTTGTGGATCTGGTAGCCCTTTGGCATGATGACACAGAGGGACATAAGCAAACAGCAAACATCTTCATGCAGAAATGCCCAGAAAATCTTTTTCCCCAAGCAGAACCCAAGTATCCAGTGTTTCTTGCTTCATGTTTTAAAGACTGTGGCTACAATGCAACAAACTACATAGCGTCTCATATTAGAGTTTTCCCAAGTAACTTTCACTAATTCGCAGAGATTTGCATCTGAAAATGCCACTTCTCCCTGTGGACTTCTCTCTAAAATCTACTTGACCTGAAATCAGTAGACATAAAGTACATCCTATCCTTTTGGAATTCCCTGAATATTGAACATATAGAGAAAAAATATGTAAGCTATGTGTCCTTTACTAAAAGGAGTAAAATTGTAAAAGACAGGAAGAAATTCCTCTAACTGCTCCAAAGTCATAACTTCTTGGTCATAGTTTTTCTTTCAGTCTGCTTCTGAGCTGTCTTGCCATGTTAGTTCTTAGCTCCTACACTTCTCCCTATTCAAGGGTCTGATGCCCCCATGACTTTATTCTTAGTATGGTTCTGTCCCAATATTTTACATTGTGCTTTCATTTTTAAAGAGTTGTGTTTATTCACATCTCTCTCACAGCCTGAACTGTAATTCCATGCTGACTTGAAGGGTGAGTGAGCAGGCTCTTCTCTTTAGCATAATGTAACTTCTTTAGATGGTGCTTGCGTGATCATTTTAATGTGGGGTGTGTACGTTTGTGTGCCTTTTTGTACATTTTGAATAGCACCAAATGCTGTTCCAAGGAATTGTGAGGAGTTTGTGATTTAACATTATACAAATCCTAACATCTTAAAATAAAATGGTCATATAAATAATATATATTAACTACCATAGTAAAGTAACCACACCTAACACAGTAAATGTTTCGTTTTGTTTCTCTGAGTCAGCAAAATTGCCATTCTTAGGAACTGTAAAGAGTGTGAAATCAATACAATTTGCAACCTAACAAGTTATTTTGCCGCTACTTTACATATACTGGTAGACATGTTTCTCCTCGTTTTGCAACAAAATCTTTATTATGTATTCCATTGTTTCTGACATAAATGTAACGTGGACATTAGAAAAACTTGTTTCTCAAATTCCACAGCACTGACACGCAGAACATCATACAGATAATTTCATGTGGTAGGTTCAAGTCATTGTTGAGGAACACTGAGTTTAAGATATTCTTGTATTTTGAGAGACTGAATTAGTATCCTGCTAGAAATTTCACTAGAGGCAAAGATAGAATTATTACTCAAGAAGACAATGAACATTTTCTTGGTACAGAAGATGGGCACCATGTCTATCTTCCTAAGATGTTTTCTATGAAATGCCATGAAAAATAGTCCCAAAGGAAAGCTGTCAATAAATGCATTTTATTGGCATGCACCATGCAATAATAGATCCACTGATATTCATCTCGAAACAGCACCCACTCCTCATTCCTGCAATGTCCAGTCACTATCAAGTTTAGTAGGTCTCATATTTTGGGTGGAAAATCAGAATGTAAAGTATCCTGAGTGTTTCCTCACTTGCTCACTGCTTCCTTGCTGTGCAGAGGTGTGGGTTTTCTTTGTTTATCCGTTTGTTTGCTAGAACCTCATTTCTTTAATTTTGCTTTTGTAGCTGAGCTTCTACATTGTTGTCCAAAAATCCTGGCCCAGACCAGTGGCGCAGAGAATTCTCCTGGCATTTGCTCTAGCAGTTTATACTTTTTGTGTTTTTCATCTATCTTTCTAATACTCTGAGTTAATTTTTGTGTCAGATGTGAGAACGCAGTCTGTTGTCAGACTTCTACTTGCAGACATACAGCGTCTCAGTAGCACTCATCAGACAGTATCTTTGCCCAAATTTGTGCTCATGGTATGTTGGTCAAAAACAATTTGGTTTTGAGTGTATTTACTTCTGGAACCTCTATTCTGTTCCATTTGTCTATCTGTTTGTGTGCTGGTGCTATGTTGCTGTGTGTATACTTATAAGAGTTTGATGTCCCCAGCTATTTTATTTTGCTCAAGGTAGGTTGTCTATACTGCATTACTTCTGTCTCCACATGACTATTAGGATTTTATTAATTTTAGGAAAGTACAACATTTGTATTTTCATAGGGAGTTCACTACACATTTGAAAGGCTTGTCATGGTATTGATATTTAAACAATATTAATTCTTCCAGTCCATGATCACAGGTATTCTCTCCAGTTAATTGAGTCCTTTACAATTGTTTTCACCAATCCTTCATAAACTTCTTTACAGAGATCTTTTACTTTCTTAGTTACATTTATTCCTAGATATCTTCTTATTTCTGTTGCAAATTTCCTAATTTCCTTTTCAAGATAATTCAACCTGAGATTAATGTGATTTGGTCATTCTGTATGATCTTTTTATTGAGCTGTTCAATTCTTTTTGCAAGTATCTTACTAAGAACATTTGCACCCATGTTCTTCAGAAATATTAACATGTAGTTTGTTTTTTCTGTTAAATTGTTTCCAGTTTTGTATCAGAGTCATGCTGGCTTCATAAAGTGAGTTTGGAAGCATTTATCACTTTATCCTGTACCACACTGCATTTTTTCCTTAATTCATTAAGCTGTTCTTTTTATTTTCTTTCAGCTCCTGATAATCTAAGCAGTTCATTACTTAGCTGCTTATTTGTCTGTTCTTGAAGTCTTCAATAATTGCAACTATCTATTTTGGGAGTATTTTGTCTGGAATTTATTCCCTTCATTGTCAGAGTGCAGCTTTGGAGAAGTTATGAATTTCTGGTACATGTAGCCCTGTTTTCTCATCATTCTTCTCTTGTTATTTTTGGTTTATTGTGCTGTTATTGTTGTTGCTGTTTTGTGAATTTTATTTTACATTTAGCTTCTACCTCATATCCCTTTTAATTAAATAATTACTTCAAAAACTTATTACAATTTGTGAAAATTCTCTACAACATTTAAGTTTCAGCTTGCATGTTATGGTATCACATATGAATATCTGTAGATTTCCTTCTATTTTACCCATACATTTCTTTTTATTTATACTTTGTGTAGTGCAAATCAATTCCATAACATCAGAAATTGCTAAGAATCAGAACGTCATACACATATACAATATACATTGCAAGTGGTTGTACAGTATCAGGTAAGATATAAAAGGGAGTGTTCAGTCACACATACAGTACCACCAGGTCTGTGTGGTCTGATTGTTCCCCTGTAGACTTTTAAAGATGAAATGTGAGGGTATGTTTTTCAAGATGCGCTATGATTGTATTAGGCACTGGAGCATGTTAACACCAGTTTGTGACCATGATAACAAGAGAGTTCATTGAGCACCTTCATTATGAAAAGGTTTGTGCATGGAGCAGCTGCAGATTTATTTCAAGTCAGGCCCACTTTGAGGCTTTTCACCAGGTTCTAATCACCTACATATTCTCTCTGATAAGAAAAAATGTCCCACATACATGTATTCTGATCCACAATTTTTTAAAGTATGTAGAGAGAGACTATAAGCAGTTTTGCAAATTTAATGCAAATCAGCTTCCAGTCTTCGCTTTCCAAATGCTTGATTTACAAGTTTGGTTCCTCTGTACTTTTGCCGTTCCAATAGAAAGATTCACAATTTTCCCTTTAAAATGTCTGCATTTTTAATTGTGAGAAGTATTTAACATGTGTGGGAATGAAAAGAAGTACTTTGAAGTTAGTCAGTGAATGCATTCCTACTGACTGGAATCAGTTCAGTTAAATTAGCCTGGAGCTATTGAGTGAAAAGTGATGAGAAATGCCTACCATTTGATGCTGGAAGGATAAGCAAGATTTATTCATGCTGCTTGGATTTGGGGTGAATTCAAGCCCACAGTTGCCTTGGCACACATCAGTTATTACTTTAAAGTCAAATGCAATGTCCAATCCAAATTCACTGAGGAAAAGTGAGCCCAGGTTCCAAGAGAATGGTACTTGCTCAACAATATGAGATGTTATGCAGTATAAGTCAGGAGAAGATTCGTACTGCTGAAGGAATACATTGATGGTTTACAGGAACATTTGGTAGTTTCTTCTAGCGAACGTGAAAATAGAGTCTTGCAAGATTTTTACATTCACCTCTTTACTGGCCTTACTGATTTAAACAAATCAAACACAAACTGAGTCTCCAGGGGGACCCATCATGGTCAAGTAGATGCAGAGCTGTGCGTGGGAAGCCAGAGGAGATTAACTGGAAAATACAGCTACTGTGAAATGGGGGAGACAAACATAGCTGAATGAGAAAGATCAAGCCACAGCACAAATCCAGATGAACTACAACTACAAGGCAATTAGAAAGGTAAGTGGGATGCCTCTGGTTCCCAGCAACCCTTAATTCCAGGTCTGCTGAAGATTCCACATTGGGAGTGGTTCCACCATCCTGAGAGAAGAGCCCAGAGCAGCAGAGGCCAGTCCTCTGGTAAAGGCTCCTGTCCTACTTTCCCTACCCTGTGGGACTGGGAACCCAGAAAGTGAGATGGTCACAGAGCAGGACATCAGACAAACTGAATGCAAGGAAACCACTCAGCACGCAAGCACCACTGGGCCTCTGAACTTCAGAACAAGAGAACAGCATTGACTGGGGACTCAGAGCTGGAAAGACCTGTGCTTAAGGGAGACACAGGCTGTAAGCACGAAACACGGGGAGAAGGAGATTTCCAGTGTTGTCAGGGCAGTCAGATCCCAGCATCCTCCCAAGAACTGGGGGTTACACGTCCATGTGACACCTGTCTACTGCCCGCCATTCTGCACTGGCAAGAGAGCTCATCTGCCTCCACGTAATGGCTACTAAATGAGTCCTGGGTACCACCGGGCTCAGGGGAAGGGAGCCAAGCACTACAACCATGAGACACTGGGGAGAAAGTGCAGCCATGCAGTGCTGGAGCCATCCGTCAGTCCCCCAGATCCCTCCCAAACACCGGGGCACTCCGTGTCCCTGTGATAACCTGCCCACTGCCCGTTGTGTGCTGCTGGCAAGGGAGCTCTCTCACCCTAAATGGGAGCTGCTGAGTGAGCCCTTGGTGACACAGGGCTCATGGGTGGGAGCTACAGACTGCAACTAGTGAAAACTGGTGAAAAGGAGAGAAATGGAGATCCAGCAGCGCCAGGTTGGGGCAAACCCTCCCCTACTCTTCTCCCAAACTCAAGGGAACTTTGGGCCCATGAGTATCCTGCACAATACCCAGTGTGCAGCCCCAGCAGAAAACTCCCCACCCCCAAGTGAAGACTGCGAGTGCTAAACACCAGAGCACACAGGGAGGGAAGAGGCAGCTTTCGTGGAGGGTGCAGGAGACTCAGGTGAACAGAGAGAGACACAGTTTAGTCAGGAAACAAGACAGTGCGCTGACCGGAAGCACTACGGAAATTTATATACAGGAAATATCAGCACACATAAAATGGGAAATAAAATTAATGAGAGCCTTAATTTAAATAGTGCTTTTGACTGGCCAGTCAGGGTAAACCTCACCAAAACTGTACCCAGGATTCAAACACAAGTTCAGTATTACAAAATTCACAGGTTCTCCACTGTGGGCAGCTTTACACAGTCTCTAATTAAGCTTCCCTTTCTTCAGCCCCTTATCTACTCCCCAAAGTATGCCCAACCTCTGCCAGCTCATCATTCCAGTTCTAGAAACAATAGCATTAAGTTCAACCTCATGTCTAGAACTTGCTACTATCTCTCTCTTCTTTCTCATCTTCCCATTTCTTTTTCACATCCTTTCTGTGGTGGATTGACAACTGGTAGCCAACTTGTAACACCCAGCTGAACTTAACCAGCATGATGCTGGGTGTGGGAGGCCACCTGAAGATTGTTGCCAGTAGCATAAGAGGCAGAATGGGAGAAGAAGGAGTTAGGCTGTTGGGAGCTGGTAGAAGGTGTTGGGAGCCTGCTGGGAGCTGAGACAGGCTGTTGAGAGCTGTTGGTTCTCTTGGAGGAGCTTGTCATGCTGGCTTTCCTGATGAACTTGGCTGTTTTCATCCTCCAAGGAGCTCAGGACCTTATTACCACTAAGAATGGCTTCAGTTCACTATTGGGGCACTCTTGTCCTCACTTTGAGCATTGCTTCCTGGCTCCAGAGCGGAAGATGGTGCACTGCCAGTCTCCTGGAGAACATTGTTATACTGGTTTTCCTAATGTGAACTCAGCTATCCTGATCATCAGAGGAGCTCAGGACCTCACTGTTGCAGAGGATGGCTGTGGTACTTTGCAGGGGAGCTTTGGTTCTTATTTTGAGCATCACTTCCTGGCTCCAGTGTAGATCCCTCAGCCTGCTACCACAGATCCTTCATTCCAATGGCACAGACTTTGTAGATTCCACCACTGACTTTTGGGCCTTCTCAGCACAGATCCAAGAGGCCTGCATGAGACATTGTCATGGGCTCTAGACCTCCAGCTGTATTCATGGGAGGCATTTTTGTGGGCTCTAGGTCTTCAGCTGAAGTCATGCAGGACATTATTGTGGGATCCAGGCCCTCAACCAGATTCTTTGGTCTTCAGTTTGTGGACAGATTTCCTGCACTCTCTTGTATATAATTCTTTGAGTGACTATTGTAAATGATCTTATAAATATGTGTCCTGTATTATATTGTTCACCTTGCAATAAACCCCAAACTACACAAAATCCTTTCCACAGCCCATCATATCCCTTACTACCTGTCTAGTAGTATATCACAGTCATGATGGGTCAGTGAAAAATGGGATAAATTGTTATATCATGTTTTCAGGTCCATGATTGATGTATAGTTGGATCTGTTGATGTTGATACAGCCAGTAGGACCCTCTCCTTTCACACAGTGACTGGGTGTGATGGATTACTTCTAGTAGAGTGAAGAAGTACATAAATATCAGAACACAGCCAAACTCAGTATCACTTTACTGGGAAGCAGAAACTAACTGAAGAGATCTCCATGCTAGCAACAGAGTCTTTTCACTCTACTTGATCCTTAACCTACAGCATGCACACAAAAACAATAGACACATGGGCAGCAAAATGTCTCCAGGTATGCATAAGTCCCCCAAATCTGCTCCAATGGGCAGTGAAGGGGAGGAAGTAAAAAATCCAAATTTCTGAAGTGTATAAAGGATAAAAGAAGATATAAAACAAACCCAGGTAGATAAGATGTTCAGTGAAATTGAAGATGTTGTAACCAAACAGATAAGGGACTTAATTCATAAAATAATCAGAAAACTTAAAGTGCACTGTAGTAAAAGCCGGAGTGAATTAATCCACCTGATACAATATATGAGTGACCAGTGCAGGAAAGAATTAGAGTCCATGAAAAGATACCTATCAGAAACCAAGGATATAAAATTATATTGAAAGTATGAGCAGGAGAAAGGCCCAATACAAGGAGAGAACTTTAGAATAGAAAATAGGGTTGGTGCAGGAGGTTATATAGAGATACCTTAAAAGCAGCAACAGGCCAAGTGTGGTGGTGTATGCATGAAATCCCAGCACTCAGGAGGCTGATGCAAGCAGACGAGCCATGAGTTTGAGGTCAGCCCAAATGACATAGTAAGACCCTATCTCAGTCTTGCATGTCTCTATTTGTTTTCCTAAGAAACCACTTTGAAGATATCAGTGTGTAATACAACAACCACTGTTAATTTCCTACCACTTT